CCAAAAGGGAACACTTTGAATTGGAAGCATCAGTTTTCCATTCATCCCCCTTCTTAATCCTGACTCGGTAATAGGCTTCCCGTAAGTCCAATTTAGAGAATATTTTGCTCTTTGAAAAGTGGCACAACGTGTTCGGACCCCTGTAATCAACATAATAGATGAAGAGACCCATCTTTCTTATCCTGGAACAGAACCGGGCCCGCCACCCTGGCTCTGGCCGGCTGAAAGAAACTGTGGGCCAATCTTGATGGCACAGTCTGGGCTGGTGAGGGGTGAGTTTATCTGAGCTTCTCTCACTAAACACCTCAACCAGGTCGTGGTATTCTAGGGGTGTACCCTGCAGCAACTCACTCTGCTACCACTTCTCTGAGAGTTTCCTTCCTCGCTTTGTGGCCATTGTTGTGTAGAACTTGCTCTCTCTTTGGGAATTTCAGGAGCCCCTTTCTCCAATCCACCTGCAGGTTCATTTTTTGAGCCAGGCCAGTCCTATGACAAGAGACCATTCCATGCCAGGTGCCATGATAAAAATCAAAGTCTTGGAATGGCTGCCCATGGTTAAGTCCAGGGGTTTGGTGGTGAAAGTGACAGGGACGCCCCTGGCAACTGACCCATCTCATTAGTCTTTCTTTAGTCTCCTCAGACAGACCCCCAGTTTTCCTACTAGAGTCTAGCAGAGCCTTTAGGGCTATTTTCTTTCCCAAGCTTGGGTTCAACAGTTCTATGGGCATGGTTACTGGTGCGATCGGCCCACTTACCAGGGAGTCATCATTGTAATCACTGTTGGACATCCCAGGTCATCTTCCGATGGGGTCGGAGTTCCTGGGTTTGGAGGGGAGCAGAACTCCACAACCTCAGCACTCTTTAGGGCTGTGTCTTTGGCTCACTGTGAGGGCTTCCCATTTCCCCATTGGTAGTAGTTCTCCTTTCTTGGTTGGGGTATTCATCCGGCACCTCAGCTGCTCGATGACCCTCTTTGCTGCACATGAAGCAGGCAGTTGAGCATGGGCATTTCCCTTCTCCTCTCCTCCACAATCTGCCTGATCGGTACTGGTTTCGTGTTGGTCGATCTCTGCCTCTTAGGCCAGGATGCACCAGTCATGAAGTGAGCCGGGGCTTCTCTGGCAATGCAGGCATTGTGCAGGTCATTATTCAGCCCATCTTTGAAGCAGCTCACCAGGATGTCTTCTGACCAGTTGAGGCAGCAGGCTAGGTCCCGGAACTCCTCAGTATATTCGGCTACTGAGCGATGGCCCTGTCTTACTGTTTTGATGTAGTCTCTGGCTTTCTAGTCAACCAGGGGGTCCTTGAACTTCCATCTCAGCAGTTGACATCCCAGAGTTCTGAAGCATTAGCGTTGTGGAGAGTCACCATCCAGTAGGCTGTGGTTCCCTCTAGGGCTAGGGTGACCACCCTCACCCTGGCCCACGCATTGGGATATTTCACCCATATTCTTGCATATAGGTGAGGATATGGGCAAGGAAGAATCCCAGTTGCTGAGGATCTCAGTCAAATTGGATGCCAAGGGGGGGTGCTTTTCATTTCTGATGAGGATCTGCTCCCCCATGAGGCCTGCGAGAGTTCGGGGCCCCCTGGTCCCTCCGGGGAGAGTTGGCTGGTGTGGCGATCACCTTTTTGGACGATTCAGCAGCTCCTGCAGCCGGCTCTGGAAGGGAGGATCCTCACCCCTCACAGGTCTCCATGCTCTCCTCTTCATGCTTCTTGTGCTTCTCATTCAATCCAGAGACTTTCACCACCGAACCCCTGGACCTCATCATAGGCAGCCACAGACCTTTATCATGGCACCCAGAATGGAATGGTCCCTGGTTCTAGGGCTGGCCTGGCTCAAAAAATGTAATCTGCAGGCGGACTGGAGGAAGGGACTTCTAAAGTTCCCAAAGAAAGAGTCAACCTCACATGGCTGTGGCCACAAAGCAAGTAAAGACCCCAGTAGAGAAGTGGCACCTGCCTCAAGAGTTGAGTTGTTGCAGGGTATACCCCGAGAATATCACGATTTGGGCGACTTTTTAGTGAGAAGGGGTCAGATGAACTCCCTTCCCAACGGCCCACAGACTGCACCATTGAGATTGTCCCGGGGGCTAAGTTGCCGAAGCCAAAATCGTACTCAATGACCCCAAGGGAGCTAGAGGAGTTATGCAAATTTATAGACAAGAACTTGGCCCAGAGCTTCATACAACTGGCCAGAGCCAGGGTGGCCACCCTGGTCCTGTTCCGAGAAAAGATGGGTCCCTTCATCTCTGTGTGGATTATAGGGGTCTGAACACAGTGTGCATGAAAAACCTGTACCCCCTCCCACTCATGAAAGATATGCTAGCTCATCTATCAAAGGAAAAGATATTTTCTAACCTGGACTTGTGTGAAGCATACTACCGAGTCAGAATTAAGGAAGGAGATGAGTGTAAAACTGCCTTTAATTGCCCCTAGGCTGCTTTCAATTCAAGGTGCTCCTGTTTGGACTGCTATGTTTATGCAGCTGATAAACAAAGTGTTCCATGAGCACCTATATAAGGGGGTATTGGTGTACCTTGACAACATATTGATCTACAGTGAAATGAAAACCGAACACGTGGAACTGGTCAGAGCACTCCTAAATAAACTCCAGGCTGCCAACCTATATGCTAAGCTCCCAAAATGCAGTTCCACAAAGAAAAGATTAACTGCCTAGGCTATCAGATCTCCCACAAAGGGGTAGAGATGGACCCAGAGAAAGTGCTGTACTCTATTGGAGCGGGCACCTCCCCATACCAGGAAGCAGCTGCAGAGCTTTCTCAGTTTTGCAAATTTTTACAGGCAGTTCATTCCCTCCTTTGAACAAATCGCTTTCCCCATCACTAACTTGCTAAAGACAAAGGAGGTGTACAAACTGAAACCCAGCCAGCCACTAAAGTGGACTATGGAATGACAAGTGATGTTTGAAAAACTAAAGAGACATTTTTCCACTGAGCCAGTATTGAGGCATCCAGACCCTGAAAAGCCTTTCATGATTCAAGCCGATGCCAGCGATCTGACTATGGGAGTGGTGTTGCTCCAAGAAAATGACCAGGGCCAACTACAGCCTTGTGTCTACACATCAAAAAAAATGAGCAGTGTGGGGAAAAGAGGCCTATGCCCTCCTCACTTGGCGATACTTCTTAGAGGAGAGCAAAATCCCTTTCCAAGTTTGGACTGATCACAAAAACCTAGAAGCCCTGAAAATCCCAAGGAAGCTGTCTCCTAAACAGGCATGGTGGGCCCAGCATTTTCAGTGCTTCAATTTTACTCTCCGCTACCTACTGGGAGGGAAGAACTTTATGGCCAATGCTCTGTCGAGACTTCCCCAGTATAACAGTACCAAAGCTGAAATTGTCAAGCCCCTGCTCCCAGCAAAACAGCTGGTGGCTCCAATGACCATGAGAGCACAGAAAAAAGGAGCCCAGCCACTAGATAATACCACTACCCTCATTTTCAAGCAAGCCCTAGAGAAAGATGAGTAGTTCCTGAGCCACAAGAACCTTTGCTCCATGCAGGAGGGCTAGCCTGGATAGGAGGGAAGTTGTATGTCCCTACAAGTCAGAGACTAAAGACTATGCAAAACTGCCATGATTTGAAACAGGCAGGGCACTTTGGATTCATAAAAACATTACACCTTTTAAAGAGACAGTTTTGGTGACCATCCCTAAAGGACATTGAGAGCTATATGGCTAGCTGCCCACCTGCACAGCAGCTAAACGGAAACAAGGGAAAACCTGCAATCCATTGCTGATCCTTCAGCACTCTGGAGAGAGATTTCTATGGATTTTATCATAGAGTTGCCAGAAAGTTCAGGAAATACAGTAATCTAAGTAGTGACTGACCTATTTTCAAAACAGGTTCACTTCATCCTGTGTCAGAAGATCCCTATGGCTAAAACTCTGGCAAAGCTGTTCCCACATCACATATATCGCTTACATGGAGCCCCACATTGAATAATTTCTGAGGGGGGGGGTCTAATTCACTTCAAAGTTTTGGAAGCCTTTCTGGAACTTTTGGAGATGGATCGGCCTGAGTTCTAGTCATTATCCTCAAATGAATGGGGGGGGGGCAGAATGAATGAATTTAGTTCTAGAACAATACCTAAGATGCTTTATTAATTATCAACAGGATAACTGTACTGACCTCTTGCCTTTTGCTGAGGTTGCTTATAACAATGCTGTACACACTAGCACTGGCTTCACCCCTTTCAGAGTGGCTACCCAATGCCCGAACTGCCAACCAATGATCCCATCATTCCTATGTTGAAGGCATGGATTGACCAGCTAAAAAATATCTGCCCAGTCATTTGCAAAGCACTAGATGAAGGCAGAGCAGCCTACAAGACACAAGCAGACAAGAAAAGAGTGTGACCTAAACCATTCTGTGTTGGAGATGGAGTCTACCTATCTACTCAATATCTCCAGTCCCTACAACCCTCTAAGAAATTAGGCCCAAAGCACTACACAAGCAGGAGAAGCAGCCCAAAGCACTGTGCGAGCAGCAAAAGCAGCTCGAAGTGCTGCACGAGCAGCAGAGGTGGCCCGAAGCACCATGTGGCATCCTGCCGCGAGCAGCGGCAATGGTGCAATGCACCACATGGCATCTGGCCTCAAGTGGCAAGCGGCCGCAGAAGTCAAGCAGCAGCGCGACAGGTGTCGGGATGTGGGAGCCTGGCTGTGGTGGTCCTACCAGTAAGGTAAGTGGGTGCAGGGCACATGGGGCCATCCAGAGCTCTCAATACCTTTGCACCTCTGGATTGGCTCCTATGGACTGGACAGTTGGGAGGAGTTTTGAACAATGGGTTTTAACAGCGATTTCACATGGGAACTTCAGATTCTGCCTACTTCTTCCTGCTTTCACTATCTCTCAATAATAGCTCCTTTTGAAATCCTACCAGTTTCAAGAGTTCTGCTTTCTTGAGGGAAGCAGCTGAGGCAGGGCCTTACAAATGGTCATGAGTGTGAAAAACAATAATAAGTCACATTTTTCAGTACTGTTGTAACTTCAAATAGTCACTAAATGAACTTGTAAGTCAAGGACTATCTGTAAACTGATATTAATTGGAGAAACATATTTTGGAGATTACAAAGGTAGAATAAAAATTACACCACCTTCTGACAACTCCCAGAAGCTTCCCATCGAGATCTTTGCTTTTCAGTTAGTTGTATATTTAACTGTGATCTCATATGCTTGTCCAATGTAAACAAATCTGCAAATGTTATCTATACATTGTTAGCATTCCAAAATGGCAGCATATATTCTTAAAGAATTCATCTCTAATTCTTGCAAATTTTCTTTTCATCCTGGAAGTCAGGCCAAATCTGTAGCAACTCCTCTGGCTCAAAGTGATGTACAACCACTAACTTTGAGAATTTGCACTTCTCATAGCTGATTTTATACATCTTGAAGAGGCCCCAGGGACTGTATGTCACATTGATGCCCAGTTCATACAAACAGATTCCCATGAAGGAACCTTCCATGTTAATTACCTTAATGGTATGAGCAACATGGTAGATCTTTTGGACCAGATCTCCAGAAAATATATACCCAGGCCCACCAGTGTAAAGTGGGTAAGTGTCATTAGAATATATCTCCCAGGGAACATACCATTTAAATGCTTTATTAGGCAGTGGCTTTGTGTTCCGATAAATGTACCCTGTCATATAGTCTGGGGTTAAATGGGGTTGTAATAGTTGTGACACCTTATAGTTCACATTGAGAAAGATGTCAGTATCTGCCTTCATCACATAGATGGCATTGGGACAGAACTTGCTTATCCACTCCGTGCCCATTAGAGTTTTTAGGGTGAGGTTGTTGTAAGTGTCCAGGAAATTTTGCTGGATAATATCTTTGTGGATGGAACTTTCCTCATCCAAAAGACTTTGAAGCCAGGATCCAAAGACTTGGTGGTTACCAGAGAGAAAAAGACAGACCATGGAAATATAATCTACTGAGTTCTCATTTCTCCATGTATGCTTGATGGCCTGTCTTGCAACAAAATATTTAGATTTTGTTACCACCAGCAAGACTAAAAAAGGGTTCCTTTCCTGACATTTATTTGGCTCTTTGAGAAGAAAATTAAGATCTTTAGAGTAAACAATTTCCAAAGGATGTTGCGTGGCTGTTGAAGGTGCGAGAGGCTGCAGATCCAAAGAACTATTTTTCTTTGCCTTCTCAAATATATCTTTCCATTTAAATTCTGGGCTACTTTGAAGTTTCTGGTGGAGAGCCAAAGTTCCAAGATGCTCTCTTTCAGTTCTCAAAACAAACAGAAACAGAAAGATGGAACAAAACAAGAGCACCACAGTTGGCAAATCTTGCATCTGGGATAGGAACACGGTGACCCTCAAAGTTCTGGAAAGGAGGAGAAAGAAATAGGGAAGGCAATATCTAAGAGAAAGATTGTTGCATACTTTGTCCTCCTTTGCAGAGAAAACCTACAAAGAGAAGACAAAGGAATATTGTTATATAAGAAAATATAAGAAAATACTATTTGCTTTTACACAAATACTTAACAAGCAAATATCCATCACTCTGTTTTATTTTGAGACTTATCTACTATTATATATTCCCATGGTATACATTTTAAAAAGAAATTACATGTTATTTTTAATTTTCCCTCAAACTTCTGAAATTCTTGACATAGTAGATGTCTTGTACTTAACATTCTTTGAGAAGAAGATAAATCCTAAAAAAAAATTGTCAAAATGCTGACACCATCTCCCTAACATTTTTGGAATGTTTTCACAGAGAGAGTAGCACAATACATCAGCCATACTGGTTTAAACCAAACTTAGACACAGGACGGAATCAATATACCAGTCACTATTTTGCTAATCCAACACCAATTGAAAATTGGGGGGAGGGAAGTGGGGGCCTGAGAAGACCTGGTCCTGCCTCCTAGGCATAGACCAAAACTAAAGCCTTATAAATATTTGAGTCACTCACATTTAGAGTGAGATGCCTCATTTAGAGTGAGATGTCTGTCTCCTAACAAATTGTAACAAATATTGATGGCCTGTTTTTATAGACATACAAACTGAGAATGGACAGGTAGGTAGGCAGTAGATTACCAGACCCAAACCTCAGCTGAACTTCCAGGGTGAGGGATGAGGAAAACAACCAGGGGTGGGTTGTCCTGGATGTCATTGTCAGTCTATCAGTAGTGATGGGCTGATGATATCTAAATGCCTGCTCCTTAGTTTGCAGACCTTCAAGCCATGGAGGCTGAGGAGGGGCACAATCCGCCTATTTAAAAAAAAGGTTTTCCAACACTTGGCTTAGAGAATTAAGATGGAATTTATTGTATGTATCCCACAAACAATAGCAGATTAACAGTTGGAAGGGATCTTGGAGGTCTTTTAGTCCAACCCCCTACTTGGACAGGAAACCCTATCCCATTTCAGAAAAATGGTTGTCCAATATCTTCTTAAAAACGTCCAGTGTTGGAGCATTCACAACTTCTGGAGGCAAGTTGTTTCACCGATTAATTGTTCTATCAGGAAATTTCTCCTTAGTTCAAGGTTGCTTTTCTCCTTGATTAGTTTCCATCCATTGCTTCTTGTCCTGCCTTCAGATGCTTTGGAGAATAGCTTGACCCTCTCTTCTTTGGGGCAACTCCTATTGGGACACTGCTATCATGTCACCCCTTGTCCTTCTCTTTATTAGACTAGACATTCCCAATTCCAGCAACCGCTCCTTATATGTTTTAATCTCCAGTCCCCTAATCATCTTTGTTGCTCTTCTCTGCACTCTTTCTAGAGTCTTAACATCTTTTTTACATTGTAGTGATCAAAACTGGATGCAGTATTCTAAGTGTGGTCTTACCAAGGCATTATAAAGTGGTATTAACACTTCACATGATCTTAATTCTATCTCTCTGTTAATGCAGCCTAGAATTGTATTGGCTTTTTTGGCAACTGCAGCACACTGCTGGCTCATATTTAGGTGATTGTCCAATAGGACTCAAGATCCCTCTCACAGTTACTACTATTGAGCCAGGTACCACCTGTGCATTTGGTTTTTCTTGCCTAAATGTAGAACCTTTCACCATTGAATTTCCTTTAGTTAGATAGCACCCATAGTTCAAGTCTGTCAAGATCCTTTGTATCTTAAGCCTGTATTCTGGAGTGTTGGCTATTCCTGCCATCTTGGTGTCATCTGCAAATTTGATGAGTTCCCCATCTATCCCCTCATCAAATCATTGATGATGTTGCAGAGTACTGGGCCTAAAACAGAGCCTTGGGGTACCCCACTGCATACTTCCCTCTATGTAGACGTAGTTCCATTAAGGACTACACATTGAGTGAGGTTTGTCAGCCAGTTAAAAATCCATCTTGTGGTGATGCTGTCTAACTCACATTTTTCTTATGAAGTAGTAGACTGTGATCTACTTTATCAAATGCTTTACTAAAGTCCAAGTAAATTATATCCACAGCAGTCCTCTGGTCCACTAATTTTGTCACTTTGTCAAAGAATGCAATAAAATGTGTCTGGCATGATCTATTTTTGACAAACCCATGTTGGCTTTTGGTTATGACTTTGTTTGCCTCTAGGTTTTCGCTGATTCGTTGCTTGATTATCTTTTCCAGAATCTTCCCAGGTATTGAGCTCAGGCTGATAGGTCTGTGGTTTCCTGGATCTATTTTTTTTTTCTTTTTTGAAGATGGGAACTACATCAGCTCTTTTCCAGTCCTCTGGTAGTTCCCTGGTACTCCAGGATATTTGAAACATATAGTTCAGTGGTTCTGAGATCACATCTGCCATTTCCTTCAGAACCTTGGGTGTAATCCATCTGGTCCTGGTGATTTGAACTTGTCTGGGGTAGAAGACTGGAGTGCTGGGATTCAAAAGTGATTTAATAAATTATGGGAAGAGATTCAAAAACCTGTACCATTGATATTTAATAATGTTCCCAAATTAATAGAAAAATTATGCTTTATATGAGTATGTTTGGTGTTTCATTATATATTTTTTCCTCTCCAATCACAACTGACATCTACAAAAAAGACCACTTTTTTTATTGAAATTTTTATAAACTTTTTACAATAAAATCCCTCCCCCCTCCCTCCCCCCCTCCCCCCATAACCTTCCCCCCCTTCCCAGAGCTGAATACAGAGCTAAAAAAACAGAAAAAAACATAAAAATTAAATAAACATCAATCAACTGTACATAAATCCTAAAAAAATTTAAAAAAAACACTTTAACTCCAATACATTAAAATCAACAAATCTAACCATAACAACTTTACACTATAGATTATTCAAAAGCTAAATAATACTTTCTAATCCCATATTTATTCTGAACAAAATTTACCCATCTTTTCCACACAGAATTATATCTCTCTTGTGAATGGTCTTTCAGATAAGCCGAAATTTTAGCCATTTCTGATAAATAAGAAACTTTAAGAAACCATTCTTCTAAAGTAGGCAAGGAATCTTTCTTCCAATATTGCCCAATCAATAACCTTGCCGCCGTAATTAAATTCAACATTAAAATAATCTCCTTACTATCACAATCTTCAATAATACCTAACAAAAATAATTGTGGTGTAAATTTTATCCTTCTATTAAAAATTTTTTGAATGTTCCACCAAATCTTAATCCAAAAAGCCTTTATATTTCTACAAGACCACCAAATATGATAATACGTTGCATCCAAACAACCACATCTCCAACATTTGGGCTGTAGATTAGGATACATACGAGACATCTTTTGTGGATCAAGGTGCCATCTATAAAGCATTTTATAAAAAATTTCTTACAAATTTTGAGCTTGGGTAAACTTAACATTCCTCACCCAAATTATCTCCCATGTATCTAATGGAATCGCTTCTTCAAAATTTTGAGCCCACTTAACCATACAATCCTTAACTAATTCTGTTTCTGAATCCAATTCCACTAAAACATTATAAACTCTTTTTATATGGGCTCGATTTTGGTCTTTAATTTGTTTCACCAAATTCACATCTTCCATAATAAAACCCACTTTTTGATCTATACTCCATCTTTTTAATAACTGCCTATACTGAAACCAAGAATAAATAATATTTTCTTGCATTAATTCCTCCATCGATTTCAATTACCACTTATCCCCTTCCCGCTTAAGCAATTGCTTGTAAGAAATCCTATCCATTTTCACTCCTTTCCTTATCCCTTCTATAGCGTGCCCAGGAATTCCCCACAATGGTATTCTAGAATTTGATCTATAATATTTCTTCCAGACACACAATAAAGCAAATCTTAAAACATGGGATTTAAAAACCCTGTCCACCTTTTTATTATAAATTAAATATGCGTGCCATCGAAATAATAAATTCCATCCTTCCAACAGAAGTATGTCTGAATTTGTTAAGTTAACCCAATCACTAATCAAAGTTAAAACCACCACATCATAATACAATTTTAAATTCGGCACCTTGAGTCCACCTCTCTCTCGAACATCTTGAATAATTTTAAGCTTAACTCTTGGTTTTTTCCAAGCCCAGATAAATCTATTAATACCCTTCTGCCATTCTTCTAAATTTACCTCTTTCTTTAAAATAAGTATCATTTGAAACAAGAAAAGAAATTTTGGCAGAACATTCATTTTAACTGCAAAAGAGACCACTTTTGTTATTCAATAAATATAAATCTTGCAGGGGAAATTTAGTCCAATATCCTCTCTCTGGCACCCCTTTATTGGCCAATGCATCCAGAAGAGAACAGTGCAAAGAAAGACAAATTTAACATTAATATAATATAATTTATCATTTTATTAAGGACAATATTGTGAGATTTAGTTGGAGGTTTTGTTGAGGTCCAGGTATCCCTTATCTAAAAAACTCCTCTGATGTACCAAGAAATAAGGAGATAAACCAAGCCCTATGAGGACTGTTCAAAGAATCTAGGCATATCTAGAGACTTCCAGTTTGTGCTTGTAGTGCATGGCCGCGTGAGAACAGACCTCCGCTCCCAACTGCTAATTTCACCCTAGATGAGTCCGAAGATGGGTCCGAAGTCGCCCTGGAGAGGTGACCGCGAAGGAGGGGCACCCTGTTGATCATCAAGTGATGGCAATCACTTCATTTGATCTGGGAAAAGCCCTCCAAACCCGACAGGAGAAAGGCTAGCCGTGTGCCAGCGTCTAGCCCAAACTACTGCAGCCGAAGTCCAAGAGCACTACTAAGAATAGCGTGCTTGGAATTGGTGAGAGTATTTGATCTTTTCTCCCTTATTTTACAACCAGTCCCTGGGAAAGATCCCCAAAGCAAACAACCTCCAAAAGTGAGGGGAGGGGACTACATCCCCATTCCCCCATAGACGGAAGCGGCAAATTAACCTTTAAGGAGGAAAGAACCTTATTGAAATTAAATTCAAAATACTACAATCTGATCAAACTTAGAAACTAAAATAAA